TTTGGTTGATAACCTCAACATCCGTCGAGTTATCGGTATTGCCGGTTTTTGTGTCTCGTTTAGGGCCCATGTCGATCAACACTATGTTAACAATGAATGGTACACACTACCGACTTCGAATGAAAAACTTTTACGCACAAATACGAGCAATATTTGAAATTTTATTGCCGACGTTCCGACTAGCCACTACTCGATGCGCGCCATCTTGGAACTATATCGAATAACTTTGCGAGCGAAAACATCTTCTGAATTATATAGCAAACCTCCGTTGAATATTAGACTCAAGACGTTTATCGCAAGAAAATTTGCCCTAGCCAAAGGAATTACCTACTCATTTGGAAAAGCAAGCGTGATTTGAAATAATTTTTCCACTCTCGGAACTGGATATCAGTTGTTTCATTCCTGGAAAGATTTTTTTTAACTTCGTAACTGCTGTGATCGTCAGAACGTAGAGTCTGTTAGAGCAAATGATGAATCTTCGCTCGCGAGTAGTCAGCATCTCACCGGGCCGGAGCATCGCTTTCGTGACGTCACACTAGTAGGGACAAAATCAAGGCAGTGGAAATTGTCTCTCCCATTTCATTGATTCACCTCCGGAAAACGGTCACAGTTAGCGAAAAATATCAAGAGGTCAAATATGTACAGAAGAGAATTTTCCAGAAGATGAATCAAATTTCACTGATTTACGATCATTAATTTCAGAAATATGGCATATCAAAATCAATTGACCCCATTCAGAATTGTCCTTTTTCAAACAGCTACCAAAATTCCAATATTCAATTTACAGAAATGATTCAACCATGAAAAGATTTCGCATAGTATCTAGATTGACTGAGATTTTTCTTGAAATTCCCAAGGGCCAACAACAAACCGATATTTCAATTCAAGTAGAACGATGATTCAGGTGTTCATTACAGAATAGTTCAAAAAGTTCGGACGCCTCCCATGCTAATCCTATCAACAATGGATATATGCTGTCACTGACTTTTTTGTAGGAAATTTGATTGCCTGCAAATCGGTATAATACACATCCACTTTATCTCGAAGGGTTTTAGCAGCGTTTATCTCTGAAGATGATCAGGACGCACTTTGATGACGTTAGAAATCCTATCACTCAAGTGTGTTATTACACAAAAACGCCTATTCGGTATCAATTATTTTCTGCTGAAGAGTATATATTCGAATGTTAACGTTAAATTCATGAAATAAATTTGATTTGAATATATTTGCAAAGTATCAAAATTAAAAAGAACAAAATATGTGGAATCCTTATGAACACAACCTAACAAAAATAATTGAAAAAATATTTATCTCAACAATGAGAGATATAAAAATGAATTCAACGACTTGAATAACAAAATACCCAGAACAACGATATATGAATGAATAAGCAAAAAATCAAAAAAAAAAACGTTGAATTCTTATACACAAACAAAACCAAACAAAATAAACTGTATAAATGATCAACATAACAAAATAAAAAAAATTAATAGGTATATCACAAAATGAAATAAACTTATAACAAAAAATATATATACATCATCTTAATCACAAACTAAATATTGAAATCTGAACTATTACTCAATTTTTTTTTATTTTGCAATAATTGTTCAACAGAATATTTGAAATGGTTTTAGAGAATGTTCTGCTGATTGAATCAAAAGACCCACATTTGCAACATATTATTGATTCTCGGAATAATTGAGAAGGGAATTAATTTTGATTTCTGCTAAATTCTCCAAAACTTTATGTTGTGACTTACATTGTAGAAATATTGTTTTGAATTTATCAGGCACCAATATTAGTTGGTCTGAACCATACGCCATTTAGGAATGAAATGAGTAATAAAAAGTATATCGCCCTTTACCAGTCCAAGGAATTACCGCGAAATCGTAATACAGCGAAATTTGGGTAGGTAGGTATAACGGCCCATTTTTTACGCGTTCTTTATATTAAATTTCTTTCGGACTCATTGTAGGTAACTCTACAATTTTTTCACTATTCAATTGATTTATTATCGTAGTTTGATATATTGAGTTAGTTTCATCTTATTCCAATTCCAAATTTGCAAAAAATAGTATTCTGTAGTACAACGTCCTGATTTTCAATAAAATGGAATTTCGTTACAACGCCATAACTCGGTATTGATTCATCCTATTGGATTCATCTTTTCACCAAGAGTTGAGGAATTTGTTGGGGATCATTTCGTCCCGATTGAGTGTGCTTCTAAAATTTATAGTAAATGAGCTATAGCCTATCAATTACCAACGCATCAGTACGGACTGATGTGAAATCTCAACCTACTAGTGTGACGTCAGCGTCGAGAGAGAGGGGATAGACTACGGCCCGGTAAGATAGAGTAGGCCCTGAGTCAGCCATGCGGGGCCCCAATGTCCGCGAATGATAAAAAAGGAAATCGAATCGACCATATAAGATGGAATTGAAACGGATATAACGCATATAACGAGAAATACAAGAAACTTCAATTCCCACCATGTATATACCATCACTCTGCGTTCTTGCCTCTGACACACATATAGGTGGAAGGCTATAATTGTCGTGATGGTATGGGACGACTCCGAAGAGGTGATAACAAAACCGAGAGGCACACCAGGAAACTTTAACTTCGACGATGTGCATACTATTACTGCGCATATTTTTATTGTTCTGGTTCAGTGAGGATAAGAGAACATGAAAAGAATATAAAAAAAAACATAACAGTGAATCGAAACTAGCTGGTCAAACCTTCACTAAAAATGAACAAGATATAGCGTGATAACTAAGCGAGATAATGCTAGGAATCTGCTTGTGATCTTCTGAACGGAGAAAATGTTCAGTTGATAGACATTGGACATAATATGCACTTTTCCTTTGTTTTTTCTTGTTATTTTTTGTCTTGGGGTGCACGTGAGGGCATCCTTCTTATGTTCGGATAACATCGTGGGTACGTAGGAAGAATAAGAACAGGGAAACGGTGGAATTCCGAATCGAATAATGTGAATACGTTGTAACTGATTGATTTGTCAATCTCAGAATATATCAATTAGAAATGACAACACAAAAATTAGATAATCAGGAAAGATTCATTCTCGATTTTCATGTTGGGGATGGAAATAGATTCGTATCCGAAACTTTCAAAGCTAGGTCGAATTCTCTTAATATTTTTTCGAAAACCATAATTATGTCAGTGACGATCGATTGAATTATCCTTTTAGGTTCTTTCATTGGATTGATTACAAAGCAGTGGCATTCTCATGCTCCTCATCTGATTCGTCCACATAATTAAAATCATATTTCCACTGGTAGAAATGAGAGAAGAGAATTCGTAAAGAAATGTCATATTGAATATTTCACTTCTTCTTGATCAACCCTCAGACAGTATACAGAAATGGATAGTAGAATATTGAAAGACCTATGCAGGCTGACGGACAACAAATGCACTGGAAGCTATACATGGCAATTAATTATCTCACGACTTTTCTCATCAAAAAACGAAATAATATTTCTGGATACCTCGAGGAGGCACTGATAATTCCGAGTTCAAGCAACTCTAAATTGTCTTTCACGAAATATTTTATTTTATTTTATTTTCACACACAGGAATTCAAACAGGACGAACCCAGAGACTGTATTCACATATAGGTGAACTAAATATGTCCTGTTGTTAGGAATTCAATTCCATTATACAGTGCAGAATTTTATATATTTTTTATGAAAAAGAGAAATTTTCAAAATATCATCAATTAGATGCTGGAACAAAATGTTTCTTGAGTTTGTTCACAAAGATTGTTGAAGAGTCGGAAAAAATATCAATCTCTATTATGATTGGAATGGAGTTATAACTTTTCAAGCATCGATGTAAAGGGGAGTTGAGAAAGTAATTTGTGTTCGGTATGGATGTATGGAACGAGTTATAATAGCGAGTGGAATATTGTGGAACATTGTGATGGATCAAATTATTTATAGATGTGAAATGAATGATTCCATTTATAATTTTGAAAGAGAATTCAATATCGGCGATAGCTCTTCTGTCAGCAAGACTGATCAAATTAAGATTTCAAATTACGAAGTGATTTTGTGGCGTGTTTTTGAAATATTTTTTGTTGATATAAGCAATGAATTCATTCTGAATACTTTCCATTTGTTTGGTGTATATTATATAATAGGGATTTCAAATGATTGAGCCGAAGCCTAGCAGACTATTCACGTATGACATGAAAAGAGTACGCAAGGTATTATAATCTTTGAAAGGATACGTTGTTCTCGAAATGAAACCAAGCATTCTGTTCGCTTTCTTAGAAATGTAAGAAATATGTTTATTGAAAGTCATTTTTGAATCAAAAATAATTCCCAAATCCTTCACTTCACTACATATGTGGAGATAATGATCCTGCATGATATATCATCCTGAAATCAGTAATACATTACAAGTTGGTTCTCGCACATGACTATTGATGATGACTGGAGTACATTCAAGTACATTGAAAAAAATAGTCCATTATTTCCAGAGTGATCAAACGAATGGAAAAGTGCTGTTATACTCTGTTCAATACATTATCTCACGTATGATTGATAATATGACTGAAAGGTACTCGAATCACCTTGTTCGCGATGAAGTTTATATTCATGTGACAAGTTTTTTACTTCATTTCACTCAGACAGGTGAGGTTTCATCAATTCTTTTTTATTTTCAGTTTCATTCTCCGATTCTTTTTTCGCGTGTTGAAACGACTCAACGAAATTCCGATTAGCTATAAAGAATAGTTGAACTCAGAATATATCCCTGAATTCATCTCAGGAGCACTCCATTTCATATCAAATTTCGAATTCTGATTCCTCACATCACTGTCGAACATTCGTTGTTGATGAAACCTGACAGCTCAATCATGTACGATAGCATCTCAATTGTCCTCGAGAGATGCAGTAATCGGAAACATTCCTCATCATCATTTTTTCTTTGATAAGATAAAAAATATATTTCGAGAGGTACTTGATAAGTTTGATGATATACTGACGATTATCAGTATATGAATGGTCGATTTATTTCACGCACACTGAAATGTGGCGTTTGATATCAATAATTTTATCCTACTGGATACTAGGGGTGAGTATATAGTGGAATTCATCAGAAACTCAGAGTGACATATCGAAATACCCTCATTCCAGATTCACTGTGATTCCCCTATTGTGACTCTACCAACAGGAAAGATTCAAGGACTAGTTTCTAAAACGTACAGGCATGGCAAAACATTTTATGGGTTCTTGGGTATTCCATATGCAGCACCACCAATCGGAACTCTGAGATTCAAAGTGAGTTGTTAACTTAGAGTTTGATTCATTCGATATTCAATTGATTTATATCAGAAACTCATTATCATATTATACACTTGGAACATCCGCTAACAGCTTTTATTTTCTTCAAGATCTGATTCAATTGTGTTCAATGGATATTTTGTGGAAACCTGATCGTATCAATGCACCTTGAGTTATAATGTGAGATTTCATTGGATCGATGCCTTTCTTGCTCATGCCTTTCATTGCAATGAATCATAATGGTTTGAATTTTCTTCAAGGAAAATGATTCCGTCATCAATTGTTGAAATTTTTCCGAGCTGTTTATGAATACTTCAAATTTTTTCTCCACTGCATTTTTATTCCGTCGGCAAGTGGAATGTTTGATATATCTTCTTCTGAAGTAGTGAATACTCGGAGTGGAGTGAAATAATCAAGAAAGAGAATGTTGAAGCCGTCTCCAGAATGTTTAATGGCATGAAGATGTAGTCTCATCTGCTTCAATAAGGTTCGTGACATGCCTTGATCATCAGGATCGTCATCATAAGTCAAAGAAGTACATTGGAGTGCATTTGGAGGAATCAGAACATTGTGTAGACGAAAATGTGAAATAAGCCGAAGAGAAAAACTGAAAGTCATTACCACAATAGTGAGAGAAAATGAACGAAAATGGTCAAATACAAAAGATAATTACAAGACGCGTAAGTGGTATAGTAGCGCGTGACTACCTGCAGACCGTTTTTGAGCTGTTGGTTACATATACGTACCTCGGCATGTATAACCCACGAGGCGTTCAACGTCCGCGAAATAAATGCGAACACATAACTCGACCTGGCAAGGAGAGGAATACTCGAGAACAAGATCTTATTTCAGATAAAATGTAAGTGGCTGGTTGCCCGACTGACGTTTTTTCAACTTAAAAGCAGCCAAGTACTCGAAGTGGAATGCAATGGTCACAAAGAGAGAAACTCAGTCATTTCCACTATAGTTCATGGAAGCAATCGAAATGGTAGATAACAAGAGAAAAACAAATAATTTTCTGGCTAAACGCCACGCAGAACATTGGATTACTACCTCTCAAAATCTATGCACCGATTTGAATAGTCGGATAAAATCGCAAGTGTTTTATTCCTTAAGTGGTTCAGGAACGCGTGAATACCTGGAGATAGGTTTTGAGCTCTTGGTTCTCATCAGTGCAGGGCGTTGAATGCCTCGAGGGGTATAATTGCTGAGATGCGTCCACGTTGGGTCAGGCTCGCACCAGATAGCGATCAAGAATGCTCTCTGCGACAGCCGTGCACTGATGAGAGCCAACAGCTCGGGACCAGGCTGCAGGTAGTCACGCTTTCCTGAACCACCAAGGTGCAGCTTGACGTTCAGGAAAGAAACACTTACGAATAAACCCATCGATTCGAATCATTGCAATGATTCCAGGATGATGCAATCTAATATTCTGCGTGGCATATAGCCAGGAAAAAAGTGGTTTTCCATTTGTTATCTACCATTTTCGTTCATTTCATGAACTATTGTGGTTATGACTTTGATGTACTCTCTTTGTGTCATTGCATTCCACTCAGAGTATTTGGGTTTTTTCTGGTTCAAAATCAGTTGATTCAGTATCAATCTACCACATGCACTTCAATGTTCTTCTTTGACTGTTGATGACCATTCGAATAGTCAAAACATGTCTCGACCCTCATGAAAGCAGGATTGACTGCAACTTACCGTCATCAAACTTTGTGTAGACGACTAGATTTTCTCTCTTATTGATTCATGAATTTATCTCCGAGATGTTTGCGAAGCAGGAAGTGTGAATAACTAATGATTCAATCATCAGATCATTTCAAGAAAATGTTTATAGAAAACTTGTGAACCATTTCACTTCATATGAATCGATAAATTATTCAATAGGGGTTTAAGGAAATCATATTCTGAATCTTCTCGTCAGTGTGGTATCATATGAACACTTCGCATCAACAAGTCTTCCTCACAAATATTCCTTACCTGTCTCGAAGCTTTTCAGTAAATCGTTCACGAATCAAGATATCGCGGATGGACGACCTCTACCTACATGTTGAAAGTTACCTAAATCAACTATGTAAAACTAAAAGCTGCTTTGAGTCGTCTTTCCCAAGCAGCTTCCGGATGTAGAAATTTCTCATCAGTGTGATATAAAATGAACACTTCGCATCAACAAATCCTCCTCACAAATATTCCCCACCTGTCTCTGAGATTTTCACTGAATTGTTCACGAATCGAGATATCGCGAATGGAGAGTTTTCGAATGAACGACCTCTACCTACCTGTTGAAAGTTACCTAAATCAACTATGTATACAGTTGGTACAGTTACAACATTTCAACTTTTTAAATACATCCAATAATATATTTTTCTATCAAAGTCTATAACAATTAATAATAACTTATTCAATATTAGATAATATCTCATCTTTAGAAGTAACTGTAACTGTACCAACTGTATACTACCTACATGTCCCACAAGCAGTAACAATTGACAAATGACTGACTTAGTGTCAATTGACAATTGTCATAGTTAACCTCAATATAAGTTCCCGCAAATTTCTCAACAAATTCGAGCATGGCCATGTGTTTCGGCAGCCGAATATAAAATTTATAAATAAAATTCAATAAAAAAATAAATCTCATTTTACTATTTTCAACTTTTACAATTTTAAATTGATCTTGTGTCCACTGTTTTAATGTATTACAAATTACTGATGTGTCTTGTGAATCTACTACTGTTACCATCTTTCAACGACCATTTTCACTGACATTGTAAGTACTTTACTGATAATTCTACAGAGCCTTCTTAAAGAAATTTTCATAAATTGTAGCTCCCTGATGATGACAATATTCATTGTCGAAATATTGGAAATATAATATATATATATATATATATAAAAATACAATAACTTTAGAAAAAGTTCCACAGGAAATCTTTCTAGGTGAGGTTGCAGTCAAAATTTTGGCCTTAATGAGAGGACTCTTTGTTACATAGCCATATAGCATTAAGGCCAAAATTTTGACTGCAACCTCACCTAGAAAGATTTCCTGTGGAACTTTTTCTAAAGTTATTGTATTTTTACCTTAACTAGTCAGTCACGACTACCCTCCTCCTTATATATATATATATATATATATATATATATATATATATATATATATATATATATATGAAGAAGAACATTGAGAATTTGCAATCATTCGAAATGAAAATTGAAATGTATATGAGTAAGTATAATATAATATAACGTAATTTCCATATCACTGATACGAATTAATTTTTTTTTGAGATCCAAGCTCATGAAGTTCAGAGTTTATACAAGTATACTTCTCATAGATATTTCAATTTTCATTACAATACTGAACACATAATGATAAGTTATATTTTAGTATCATAATACATCATATCGATTCATCCGATTCGAAAGATGATGTCAATTCTCAATTTCAGCAGATTTTAATTTATTATGCTCTCCTTCTGGATGTTCAACACAGTTCATCGTGGCCTATAGTCAGGAAAGTAGTTGTTTTCTGTTGAATATACTGGAGAATGTTTGATATTTTTATCAGACAGAGAATGCGAATTCTCAATGTATTCCTCCATATATAAAAATATATATCGATTTTTTTATGTTCATAATTATATTCCTGGATGTATAATGAATTGATATTCATCATACAAGACGTGAAAAATAATCCTGAATTGATAAGACCTAATCAGGAATCTGCGATTCAAGTCTATAAAAATAACTTGAGAACACAAAAAAATTGGAAATATATAAAAAAATATATTGAGAATTCGCATTCTCCATGTGATGAAAAGAGTTATTTCCTCATGGTTTATCCAGCAGGAAACAACTACTTTCCTGGCAATATGCCACGAAGAACATTGAATTATATCTATTCAACACGAACGATAATGGGGAAGACCACTGAGGAAAGAAATCCGTGCAAACCTCTTTCAATCGACGAATCATGATTTACATTTTATGTACAATCAATATTATGAGTCGAAGTTGAAGGGAATCGAATCTAAATCTTCTTGGAATCAGTATATTTCATTCGATATTTCAAACAGTCAAATATGATGGTGGAGTCGTGAGGTATTAGCCCCGAACTGTAGCTATCTCTCTCTCTGATACCTCGTCATTCTGCAGTGTTGCAGTGCAATTGGTCAGTTCAAGGACAATAGGCGTGTTGGGACTAAGACGTCGCACCAGTCACACCAATGAATTGATGAAATTTCAAATGGCGCAGGAATTGTGTGTTTTGAAATGGACATATACTAATTTATTTTTTTATCGTCTTAGCATGAATGAAAAAATTCAAAATTAATTCACTGGTAGTTTTTCAGTATAGAGTTCACGATAATGTTGTTTTGAAAAATCAGTGGTCTTCCCCATTATGTGCATATCTTTATATGAAAGAGAATGCAAGTTCCCTACTTCAAAAGATTTTTCAAATTCTCATCGTTTGTGTACTATAGATGCCCAATCAGCCAAAGTACGTCTTGAATGCGTCTTTAAGACGTACATGTCGGGACATAAGTACGTCTTAAAGACGTTCATATTACGCCCAAGAGACGTCTTCAAGACGTCTTTGAAACGTAAATTTTCCACTAATATGTACGTCTTTAAGACGTCTTTCCTAGGTGTTTTTGGTCCATGACCTCAAATTGATCTTTCAAATTACGGAAAAATCACATAGTTCCAGTTGATTTTCACCTGTGCACTGAAGTTAGCAACAAGTGCAGACAAGCAAAAAAAAGGGAAATAAACGACTTCATCAAACGGTAGAAACAAGCGGTCACCCATTCAAATACTGACCGCGCTCTTTGTTGCTTGACTTCGATGATTATACCATATTCACTTCTTCTGTTACTCTGTTTGTTCTATATATCACATAACAAGCTTTAACTTAGTTTAACATGTCCTTGTGTCTGTTTGTAATCAAAACGTGCAAGTTGAATTTGACTCACTTTAAATCGTCCGATTGA